AGTTTGCACCCTTTCCTTACCATCGAATTGAGGCCTAACAGCCTGTGCAAATTACTAAGCAACCGTTCTAAACAACAAAAAAGGCCTGGAATCTCATAGAATTATGATAAAAAGACCTAATAGTATCAGTTTGATGTATCAATTTACTCGCACAACTGTATAGAATTGATTACTGTATGGTTTCTGGACCGAACCATATTGTAATGTCACCTTGATAATTCTTCAGGTAGATTCCATCGCTAGATGCCAAATTTCTTCCATATTACGTCTCGTATTCTTGCCATATTGATCTTCTGATATCGTAAGGTCTTCTCCATCACGCGAGAACACTTCCAGTTGCTTCTACAGCGTATGCACCACTTGCTTCAGGTGAATCCCAACGCCGGATCACACAGATCTATCGCTGATGTGACACACAGTCAATGACCACTTCGATTTTCCATATATTCGTCGCATAAGTTCTTCAGGAGGGCTGGCCACTCGTCCTGGACCATCTAGTATGTCTCCCCTCCTTGCCCTCGGCATTTCAGACACCATAATGAGGCATGTACCGTAATAGTGCATCCTATATCACTATGCATCGAATTTCGTTTGAAATTGACAAGGTAAGCGCGCCCATTTACGTGACCTAGTGCTTTGGCTGATTTGTCATGCTCGCCCCTCAGGCCGAAAATTGCCTTCTCCTGGGCCCCAAACTTCTCGTAACGATGCGAAATGAGGTATCTCTTGATGTGCGTACTTTCTCCATTCGTTTTGCATCCATAGCGGGCCGGCTGCACGTCAGCCGCCTTGCCCCTCCCCCCCAGCTCAGTCAGCTAGCCCCTTTATCCCAGCTAGCACGACTCCTGGGGGTGCGTGGCGAGTTTGCCACTAAGACCTGCAAATTACTGACGAGTTTGTGTTGTTTAGAACGGTTGCTTAGTAATTTGCACAGGCTGTTAGGCCTCAATTCGATGGTAAGGAAAGGGTGCAAACTCGTGAGGAGTATATCCTCGAGTTCTGCGCTCTTATATAGTCTAGCAGATGTACATAATGACTAATACTACGCTAAAACCATCTGCCAACTGATTATCTAATAAGAGCCTGACTAAGAAACAGAAAATTCTCGATTATAAAACAACATTTTTGATTGCAGTGACAGCGTTAGCCCTAGCTCGGGTCAACCCGCCCAATAACCGTGAGCCCTGTATTTAAAGTTGAGCATGAATACGCGGCATTTAAACCTAAGAATCCACCATTATGAGATGGAAGCGGCGCATAAATCCCAACTAGACGCACTCCACCACAGCAAGCCACTCGCAGCACAACGTTTCCCATACTTGATTTTCATTCTGAGCAGGCTTGTTAGATCTCCTAGCTAAATCACGCCACTTATAGGATCTACTCACATAATAATAAGCCAGATGAGCAAGAACGTCCCCGACCTATCCATACGCTAACCCGAACCGTCTTGACCCTGTCTTGACGACTTGGTTCCAGTTTGCTCCGAGAAGGTTGGTTACATATCTCCATTTCCTCTCTTCAGCGGCTCTCAATCTCCCCATTGCAGAGCTGGAAGGCGTCCGTTTGTACTCCGGTTGCGAATTGGCGTCAGCATACGAAGGATTAGTCGGGAAAAGATCATCCTCGACAGTCCTATGGTGCGCTAGAGATGATGTAGATTTCCCATTTGAATGAATTGCAGAGGGCGGAGGAAGTACCTGTAGGAGTACTATTAGACATCGGAATAAGTTGGTCAGTAGGTGAAACAGTAGCTTGATCCATGTCAAGAGTGAGAAGGAAGACAAGTGGAAGGTTTTCTTTTTGTGTTGCTCTCCATCCATGCTGTAGCTTACTTGCGCCGTATTTATAGCAAATTGGCCTGCCACCAAACCTGATCTTCTAGAAATTTCCCGATCACAAATGGGAGGAGGAAGATGAGGGCTGTCTATTCTGGTTGATAACCAGACGAAGGAGACGTTCAGGTTATGTTGGCTATTTTGGAGGATAGCCACCAGCACCTCATGTAATCCAACCCGCTGAAAACCGGAGATTCCACAGCAAGGGCAACAGGTTTAGGTGCTGTGGAATCTAAACCTGTTGCCCTTGAGGTGGCCAAACGGGTTGGCGGGATTCTGTAACATTCGTGAAGATCCTTTAATAAACGTACCATAGCCACAGGTGATTAATTGCACCCAGTTGTATACCTGCGTTGTCGAATTGAAATTTAGACTTTACCGTGATGAAGGGTTCTTTCAAAGGCTGGAGGGTGTTTGGGGCCAACATCTTATTCTGTATAGCAAACAAGTGGACTTGTTCTCAATCGATCCATCGACGATCTGGGTTTTAGCGAACTAGGACAGACTTGTTCTGCAGGTGCGCGAGTACCACCCTTCTCATCTGCTCATACCAAACTTGTGAGTAAATCCAATGCAAAGAGTTGTGAATTCCAATTCCATTGATTACATCTTTTACTCCA